GCTTTGCCATAAATATCAGAAAAATAACAGAAACAATATTCAATATCTGTGAATGCACCAGCTTAGTTCAGTAGTACAATGTTGACAATGAAACCATCTTTTGTGTTTCCTCATAACTGGAGACTCTTTCCCCCCCTCCCAATGTGCATGGGCACTATGTATACCAATTTGTCTACCACTGGAGCCAAGACAAGGACACAAGGAAAGGACATACATACATACAACATATAGACACAAAGAGCTCTTTAGTTACCATTTATCACATGTCGGATATCTCATACAACTGCAGTTTCACTCATAGGCCAAAGTAACAAAAACAAGCAGAGAAAAGAAAAAAAAAACTCAAAAGTTAAAAACAAAAGTTAAAAGAAAATACCAAAATCAAGATCAAAAGCTTTCTGTGTTAAAAAATATATATACTGCCACGATATGCGTGATCCTGGATGCTATTTCACATCTCCTAAACTTTGAAAGGAAGAAGATTGGTTAGAGCATGTTAGTTTTCTCAGGGTTTCTTCAGAAAAGTGAGTCCTTGGGTATCCTGCAACAATAACTGGAGAAGAAGTCAGTAACATTCAAGTTTTTGTCTGTCTCTTAAACAAATATCTCAAGTCCTCAATGGGTTCACAAGACCACTGGGACTTCGTCTCTGGGTCAGTTCCTCCTGGGGCTTTCTTAAATCTGGAATGATGTACCCAGGGTTTTATATCTGCAAGTTTCAGAGAAGTATGTGTGCTCAGCAAAACATCATAGGGACCAGTCCATTTTTTTGACAGCTGGTTTTGAGCATCCCCGCTCTGCCAAGTCTTCAGTAAGACCTGATCTCCAGGTCTGAAGGGATGCAATGGTTGATCAGGAGGCATAGAGATCCTCAAGGCTGCAAAGTTGTGAATTACTGCCAGAACCTCCTGATGTGTTCACATATTGTGTGATCCGGCAATCTTGTGCTATTTCCGGACTGGGTTTCAGAACTGAGGCCTGGAAAGGTCTTCCAAACACAATTTCTAAGGGGCTTAATTGTAGCCCACTTCTAGGTGCCACTCTTATGCGGAGGAGGGCAAGGGATAGTACCTGGTCCCAACGAAGTTGTGTTTTTTGGCACAGTTTTGCCAAGGTTTTCTTCAAGCTGTGGTTCATCTTTTTTTTTTTTTTTTAATTTATGATTTATTTGTCTGTTTGTTTATACATGCACTGGGTACAGTCAGAAGCGCGGGAGGGTGACAGAATTCACCAGAGCCAGAGTGGGGAGCAGAACAGGCAGAAGGACCGAAGTTCACTGCTGAGGGGAGCAGAGGGCGGCAGGAGAGATCTGCACGCCATGTGGGACCCTCCTCTAGTGGCGGGGAGCAGCCGGGGATCGAACTGGCGCCGCAGAGACCGTGGGCAGCTTCGCAACCCAGCGCTCAACCGATGCGCCACCGGGGAGGCCCGCGGTTCATCTTTTCTGTTTGCCCAGAAGACTGCGGTCTCCATGCAGCATGCAATTTCCAGTTGATCTGTAGCACACTGCTTACTGCATGAGTGACATCAGAGAAAAATGCTGGTCCATTATCACTCTGGATGGAGTCGGACAACCCAAAGCGAGGGATTATCTCCTTCAGCAGCTGTTTTGCAACCTCGGAAGATTTGTCTTTGTGGGAAATGCTTCCACCCATCCTGAGAACGCGTCCACAAAAACCAAGAGGTATTTGAAGTTGCCTGTTGTTCTAGGCATTTGTGTTAAGTCCACCTGTCAGTCCTCCAAAGGGAACTTGCCCCGATACTGAACCCCAATGGCTTTAGGGTGGGAGTCTTGGGGTTATTCCTGGCACATAGTAGAAGAACCCCGGTAATCCCTTGCTATTTTGTGTAAATAAGGGCCCTTCAAATATGGGCGCACTGTTTCTAATAAGGCATCTCTCCCATAGTGAGATCCTTCGTGAAGATGTTTTAGCACCAGATATACCAGGGCCTTCGGGAGGAGTATCATCCCATGGGAGTTTACTCTCCAAGTGGAACTGGGGTCAAACTCAGTAAATCCCCATGCACGAGCTCTCTCCTCCTCCCACTCTGTGTATTCAGGAGCATACTGAGTCAGGGCCACAAGAGGGATGAGTGCACCCTGGAGGGCAGAATGGGCAGAACGGGCAGCCGCCTTAGCCACCCGATCGGCTGCCCTGTTGCCCTTTGCCATGTCAGACTCACCCTTTGGTGGCCAGGACAATGCATCACAGCAACAGCTGATGGTAAAGCTACTGCCTTTAACAGGGCCAGGATTTCTAATGGGTGTTTGACATCCTTGTTACTGGCAGTAAGAAGTACCCGCTCCTTCCAAATGGCCCATGCATGTGGAGAATCATAAAAGAGTACTTGGAGTCAGTAAATATATTGACTCTTTTACCTTTTGAGAGTTCCAATGCACGGGTCAGGGCTATTAATTCAGCTTTTGCGCTGATGTACCTGCCAGAAGAGCCTTGGCCTCCACAGTGTTCTAGAGCGTCACCACTGTGTATCCAGCACATCGATGGCCTTGGTTCATGAAGCTGCTGCCATCTGTAAATAGCTCCCACTCTGGATCTGGCAGAGACTGGTCAGTCAGATCTGGTCGGCTGGCATACACTGTGTCTATGGTTTCTAAACAGTTATGGATTAAAGTGTCATCCTCAAGTCCGTCTGCATTGCTTGGAAGCAGTGTGGCGGGATTCAGGGAATTAGAAACCTGCAGCTTCACATTAGGATTGTCCAACAGAGCTGCTTGATATTTTCCCATTCTCCCGGCAGTCAAGCAAAGTCCACCCTTCTGCTCCAGCAATGTCAAGACCTGATGTGGCACACACACAGTGATGGGCTGACCCAATGTAAACTTCTCTGACTTGTGTAGGAGGTCACAAGTGGCAGCTACGGCATGCAAACATGGAGGCCATCCCTTAGTGGTGTGGTCCAATTGTTTGGACATATATGCAACAGACTGCATTTCTGGCCCCAACAATTGGATTAGCACTCCAAGGCCAACCCCCTGTCTCTCATGTACATAAAGTCTGAATGGCTTCCTAAGATCTGGAAGCCCTAATGCTGGTGCTGAGATCAACTTTACTTTTATTTCATCAAAGTCCTTTTGACATTCTGGGGTCCAAGACAAAGATTCAGAGTCCAGGCCTTTGAGAGCATCATATAAGGGTTTGCAATTAATCCAAAGATAGGAATCCAAATCCTGCAAAACCCAGCCATACCCAAAAATTTGCGCAACTGTCGCCGGTTGCTGGGGACTTTGATGCCCTGGTTTAATTGAACCTTCCTGAGATCCCTGGCTGGCCAGTATTTCCCCAAAAATAGTTGGGGAGTTCTTAAACCCCTGTGGAAGCACAGTCCAGCAATACTGGAGAGTGCTCTTAGGGTCTTGCCACTCAAAGGCAAAAAGCAGTTGATCCTGGGCATCTATTGGGATACAGAAAAAGGCATCCTTAAGGTCTAATACTGAAAACCACCCGAAGTCACCAGGTATGGCAGTTAATAAGGTGTAGGGATTAGGCACGGTGGGATGTAAATCCTGAACAATGTCATTAATGGCCCTTAAATCTTGGACAAAATGGTACTCGCCTGTATGGGGTTTCTTCACTGGCAGAATTGTATGGTGTTGTACGGTGTTGTATGGTTAGCAGCAGGGCCGAATGAGTCCAGATTGAAGGAACCTTTTCAATACTGGCTCAGTTTCCCACAATGCCTCCTCCTTTAAGGGGTATTGCTTCCTCCTTGGGGTTTTGCTCTCCTCTATCACTTCTATCTTTACAGGCTCTGCATGTTTCGCATGTCCTGGGGTCCCATCAGCCCATACCCATTTACTTACTCTTTCAACAATTTCTGGTGGTAAAAGTTCACCTTTCGGTGGAACATCTTGAGTAAGTAACATCTGGAACCGCAGAGCCTGCTCTGGAAGTACCTGTAGGTGAAGCCTCTGATGTTTTGGTGAGAATATAATTCATGTGTTGAGCTTACTTAAAAGATCACGACCAAGCAGAGGGATTGGACATTTATAGGAAGCTATGCTGGAGCTGTGTGGTGCCCAGCCGGCACTCCAAAGGTTGTAAGAAGGCGTTCTGTTGTGGCCTTCCCATAATTCCAGTGACTGCTACAGTCTCTTTGCTCATTTTAGTTAATTTTGAATTCAAAACTGAGTATGTCACTCCAGTGTCCACCAAGAAAGCAATCAGATGATCCCCCAGAGCGAGTGTTACCCGGGGCTCTGAGGGGGTTATTCTAATGGGCTTCTTTAGATCTAGTGGAGCCCCAGGCACCCTTATTCTGCATCTGAACCTTCTCCATGAACTATCATTTGTCTCCTTTCCTCTGCACTTGGCTCTAGATTCCTTCTACTCTGTCTATATTCCCTCCTATCTTCACCTGAGGCTCTACTCTGTGCTATCACTTGTCTCCTATTCTCTGTACTGGGCTCTCGATTCCTTCTCTGTCTGTATTCCCTATCATCATCTGAGCCTCTACTCTGTGCTAACATTTCTTTCCTCTCTCCTTGGTTCCTGGTTCTGTGTACTCCTTCTATATTCCTCCTGTAACCCCTGTGTGAATCATCATATCGTGGTGTTCTCAGTATTCTATCCTGCCTTCTGTAATTATTGCGTCTGCCTCTTCCCTGTAATCTGGAACACTGATTTCTTCCTAGGGGTTCACGTTTCTGTCCATTACTGTTTCCCTGAACCCCTGTTCTGTGGTCTTTTGGTACGAAAACAGTCGCAGGTTTCGGTCTCCTGTCCTCTCTATTATTATAAACCCTAAATGCTAAATCCGCTACCTGGGACGGACTCATCTCTGTGACACTGTCCACCTTAGCTAACTTTTTCTTTGTCTGGGGCACTATGGGTAATGAACACCATAGTGACCAGACGAGCATTTTCTGTACCCAAAAGGCCATATCACTAGATCCACAGCCAGAATCAGCTCTTGGGTGGTCAGATACTGGAGAATTACCAAGAGAAATTAATGGTAGTAGAATTAACTGTGCTATTCTTTGTCCTGAACGAATTTGAATTGTTTTAGTAGGGGAGTCTAACATGATTTTAATCTCCCCAGTATAGTCAGAATCAATAACACCAGGTATAACTTTAATGCCTTGCAATGAGGTAGAGCTTCTACCCAAAACAAGCCCCACGGTGTTTTTAGGGAGTGGCCCATGAACGCCGGTAGCCACTGCAGTACAAGATTGATCTGAGGTTAATATTGCTGTGGAGGTGGAACACAAGTCCAGTACTGCACTACCTGGAATGGCCCTGAGGAGGCTGAATACTGTCCTGCATTGGTAAATGGATTGCTGGGGTTCCCAATTATTTGAAGGGCCTGGGTTGGGCCCTCACCCAGTTTCCCGAACCAGGTGACCGAGTGGCAGGCAGATTAGGATTGACATCATTATTTTTTTGTCCAATAGGGGGCAACAAAGTTCCATTTTGATGAAATTTAGATCTACAGTCTTTAGCCCAATGAAATCCTTTATTACAGCGTGGGCACACACTATTTGGAAGAGCCATATTGTTAGGATATTGAAAGCAAATTCGACCTGAAGCCGATTTTTTCATTTTATTGGGACAATTACGACTAAAGTGTCCCCGCTGGTCACATGAGTAGCAGGCATTAACATTTTTTCCACTGTTTTGATCTCCCTTGGGGCTGTTTAAATTAGCAAACCATTGACTACTGGTTTGTCCTTGAAGAGCAGCAGCTATTGCTATTCCTTGTAAATATGATGGTGTAATCTCAGAACAGGCTTTAACAAAATCATCTAAACTGCCAGTTTTTCGGATAGGCCGGATTAAGGTCTGACAAGCCATTGTAGCATTTTCAAAGGCCAATTGTTTAATAATTACGTCTGCAGCTTCTTCATTAGTAGTAACCTTTTGGACAGCATCAATAAGTTTTGCCAAAAAATCCTGATAAGGCTCTTCTGGACCTTGCTTTGTATTACGTAAGCCAGCAGTTTTGATTTCTCCAGATGGTAACTGTCTCCATGCATTAATGGCTGTCTGTGTACTCTGCTGTAAAGCCCGGGTGGGCAAATTAAGTTGATTTTGGCCAAAAAGCCAATCATCCTGACCCAGTAGCATCTCAATAGTAACTGTCTTATCTCCACTCTTTGTATTTCGTTTTATCATTTGTCTGGCCTCATCTTCATAATTAGCTTTCCATAACAAGTACACTCCAGGTGGTAAACAAGATTTTGCCGTTTGATGCCAATCATGAGGGGTCATCCACCTTCCTCCAATCACCTCTACTAGATGTAAAGCATAAGGCGAAATAGGGCCATACTCAGTCACTGCAGTTTTCAATTCTTTTAAAAGTTTATATGGGATAGGTTCCCACTGTGGGTCACTGAACTCATCGTCCACAAATGTAACAGGAGAACATTTAAAAGTAAAATCTCCTTCCCGAATAGCCTCCTGCATTGCTCCTGCAAAGCCTGACTTACAAAAAGGAGGTGGGGTTTGTTTACAGGCTAAGATTTTCTTCTGAGGGTTTTTTCAGGCTTAGGCAAATTTGCTAATGCATTGTAATCAGGGGCTGTGGCATTAACTGGAAAATGCCGAGCATGTTTATATTTTGTGGCCTCTTCCTCAAGGACCACTTCACCTTTTGGGGGGAACTGATCAACTTTTCGCTTATCGTCCCATTTAGCCTCCTCCTCATCTTTTGTATCAGATCGTTTTACTGCTAAAACCTGAGAGGCTGATTTATGTAATAATGGCGTCTCCTTGGTAGAGGTAGCGTTATGAATTTCTTTTAATTTTTTGTCAAGAACTTGAGGACCAGGTAAAGGATCCAATATGTCTCTCAAAAGTCCCCACAATGCAAATGCTTCCAACGGCACGTTTTCAGATCCATAATTAGAATAATATCGCCTCATTTCCTCTCCCACTTTATTCCATATTTCTATATCAAGACTGCCGCCTCTTGGAAACCAAGGGCAACACTCTTCCACAAAAGCTAAAAATTTGATGAATGGGGCATGAGCAATTGCTATACCCTTTTTTGCAAGCATATGGTTAATAATATCAATAAAGAGTCGTCTTTCCTTTGATTCCTTGTCGCCCATGACTTCTCAAACTAGTTCTCTGATTATTGCTCCCCTAACTCTGCTTCTCTTTGCAGAGGGGTGGTGCTAGCCCATGAGCAAAATCCTAGCTGTCCCTGACTAAAGGAAGCTTACCTTACAGGTCCCTGTTCCAGGTGATACTTGCTGGGAGCCAGCTCCAGCAAACTGTTATGTCAGGGGTTCCTGCACCAACGAGACTGAATGGACGAATCTGAGGGGGTGAGAGGAAAGGAAATGAGGAGACACAGACACTTGATCAGGGTGCAAGTATCTCCTACTGAGGGTCTCAGCAGCTCTTTATTTATACATCTCAAGCAAGCCATGGGAGTACATAAGCCAGTGCTTTCAAGTAGTAAAAAAGACTAACAACCTTGACACACTTTCAAAATCAGCCTGGGGACAGATGACCCCTTGCTGAGGTGATAGTAGCCATTTCATTTTGTTCTAAAGGTAAATACAATTATCACACAAAATGTCCACTAACAATCATTTATTTTCCACTGCCCAGTAATCATTCTGTTAATGCTAAATACAGCAAAGCAACAAAAAATGTATATGACTAAAACTTAACTCCTTTATAACTGCTAAATTACTAATTAATCGTAATTTATAAAATTCCTAAATCTTAAACATTAAAAAACAATCACTTTATATATTGGTAATCAAATCCAATTGCTGCTAAAATCAAAACTTTTCATTCCAATAACTGATTTATTCTAATTTAATAAAAAGTAGTAAGTTATTAAAAGGAATTAAAAAACCAAAGAATCTCAGTGCCGCATAACTTGCACTGACCTTTTTCTATGCCCAAGCTTTAAAAGGAAACTCCTTTTACTTTCTCAAGGCAATATTTTTTACCTATTGCTTCTTTATTTATCTTGTCAACTAACTGCTATCCCTAACTTCAAGGCTCCTCTCCATATATTGCTTCTTCATTTATCTTGTCAACTAACTTTTTTCTAACTTCAAGTATCAATTAATTTCAACTATCAACCAACTGCTATCTCTAACCTCTCCATATGGTCTCTGCCTTAAAAGACCACAAATCTATGTCAAAGACTTGGCCGGGAATGTTTACAGCCTTTAGTTCCCAGAGGTTTTCAGGTGTGACATATCACTTGTTTTTGTCAGACCAAAATTTAAATCACTGCTTCCAAGCAGAAAGATACTAATTGTTTCAAAATGTACTGTTTATATCATGCAGTGCCATTGTCATCAAATTAGTTATTTAGTATTTGGTCATGCAACATTTGCAGTTTACTTTTCAAATATGTGTATTAACAATTGCCATATTCAGAAGAATCAGCCATAAACAAAGAAGAATCTAGCAGGAGTCAGCTAACGAGATTCCGGACTTTTCAGGAATGGGTCCCATGCCTGTGTTATAGGACAGCCCCGATATTGAAGGGGTTGCCTGGCTGTGGTTCCTCACTCGCGCTTAAAAGGGACTTATTAATACTCCACTACAGGCATACACAAAAGGTTAATTAAAGGTTTATTTACAAGGGAAAAGGAAATAAGGAAAATGTACAACTCAGGGAGAAAATAGGGAAATAAAGTCTTTAAAGTGTCCTACCCAATCCGCCGACCTGGAAACCCAAAGTCACTCTCAGAGCTGGCCGGACACTGCGAGCTGGCGGGGAGCCAAAATGGAGGACCCTCCAAAGCCCATGTGTCTAGCCTTATACCAACCTGTTTGCTTAAGCCCACCCTCAGGTCCAGCCACCTTCCCTTTGGTGGTGATGGGATTTGGAGTTCCCAGTGTCTTTGGCTTTGGCCTGGGGTGGGGGTGGAGTCCACAAAGCCTGTAAGGAATTAGCTTTAGGACATCCTTTTCCCCCTAACACAATCTCCTAATCAAATTTGTTTCTTCTAACCTAGAAGAAGCTCTTCAAGTTTAAAGTCCTCCAAGCAAAACAGCCGATCCATACAAAAGGAACAGCCTGCCCAGGATGCCCTACTCCTTGGACTCCAAATGACCCACTGTGGGGAGCCATGCTACTCCTGTGGTCTGACAAAGTTCCGGGCAGGGGCGGATTCCAGAAAAGTCAGGAATCTCCTTAGCTGACTCCCGCTAGATTCTCCTCATTTGTCTATGGCTAGTTTCTACCATTGCTAAAATACGCATTTAAGTAAAACTGCAAATACTGATCAATCACTGAATAACCAATTTGATGGCAAATGGCACTGCATGATACAAATATTACATTTTTTATAAAATTAGTAGTTCTCTGCCAAAAGGCAGCAATTCAACATTGGGTCTTACATTAACAAGTGAAAAAACCTCTGAGAACAAAAGGCCATAAACATCCCTTGGCCAAGTCCTTTAGTATGGAGATGTGGTCTTTTGAGGCAAGGGCTAATTGGAGAAGGAAATTCTTTTACTTTAAACTTAAAAATAACAGTTGAGGGTCAGAGGTGAGCCAGGCCCCAAGTGTAAGAAAACGCCTGATAAGCCAGGAGAAGCCATAGCTGACTCCTGCTAAATTATTCCTGTTTATTTAGGGCTAATTCCCATGGATGTAGCAGTTGGTATGGTAGCTGTTAGAGTATGCATTCAAGAATAAGTCAACAGCAATTTTGTGACTGGTTGAGCTAGCTATAACCATCTTTGGCCCTGCCTCTGATAAAATGTTTGTAATTCCTTATAGCTACAAACAATCAGCAATCTTACAGAGAAAGGAATTTTCTCTTGATCATAAAATTAGATACGGAAACTAGGCTGACTAGATAAGTAGAAGAGTGAGACACAGGGCAAGCTAGGAATTAGGCAGTTTCAGGGACAGTGCAGGAGGGGACCTCGGAAGAATTTAGGGAGGCTTCAGAGATAAGGACAACCAAGGGAAAGTAACCAATTCCACTAGGAAAAACAAACATGCCAGGACCAAGGACAACATTGTTAACGCTGGTCCTGGTTTCCTTCAGGTGGTAAAGGGAGGCGGAGATTGGAGAAATGGAGAGTGGTTTAATTTATGGACAACTTAGAAGGGCAGCTGTTTAACTTCAATGCAGGGATGCTCATCCAGAGGACTGGGCCATAAAGATAAAGATGTAACAAATGGGGAAAGAGAAAGCTGTTAGATAAGATGTGAAGATCCCCCACTCAGTAGCAAATTAAGTGAGACAGCAGAGAACTAACCAATCACAAAGAGACTGGTGGAGCTTTAGAATAATGAGGGAAAGAAGATCTATATTCCCTGAGACAGGACTCCACTTTGGCTTCCTTGCCCCTCCCAGGCCTGGGAGTTCCCCTTTATTTCTGTTCTTTTTCTCCTCAATAAACTTTTTCTTTCTCTGAACAAACCTGCCTCTTCTCGCTTGCTTGCCTGAGCGTCTGCGAAGCTCCTGCTGCGGCTTCATGTGACACCAACCCGTGGGGGTCTAGTGGCCTCCCCGGGGTCTAGTGGCCGGAGCTCAGCGCTGCCCTGCAGCCTGGGATCCGTTCCTGGCTGAGAGACTAGGCCTGACAATTCCGGTATCAAGAGTAATAGGTAGAAAACTGTTTAGATTAGGAGAATTCCTCCCTTAATTGAGAGCTGGACGCTAGGGAAGAGTCAGTGCAGCTTGCCTGGCATTAACGCCCTCCTTGGTTCCTTAATATCCAATCAATATTAAAACAATATACTATAGATAATGTCTTCTATATAATAGCCTTCTGTTTTTTGCTTTAATCAATTGGTTATATTTTAGCCTAAACTTTATAAGTTAGTTAGGTCTGGGCGGGGAATGATGGAGGACAAGAATAGAAAAACTGGAAAGGAGGCCTCACAAGACTAAAACCTAACTCACACAAGGAGGTGGGAGTGGAGGGGAATAACATGACCATTAACCCCTGTAGAGGTCGTGACCCTTAGGCACCAGGCAGGAGACCCAAACAGGATCAAGTGCTCTAGGGAGTGGAGCACAGACCTGAGGGGAAAGATATGGAGATTGGGCCCACCCTGGAATCTCTGGTCCCTTTCTTGTTTTGCCTGTTACCCAACATCAGCAACAAGCAGGCCACTCCACGGAGGAGGAGTGACCCCTCCAAAAAAGAAAAGGACTAAACTGGTGGAGTCTCTGCACAGGCTCGGGGCAGCACTCCCACTGCCCACCTGTGACTATGCAGGTGCTTCCTTTCCCAACTCTCTCCCTCTGCAGGGCAGCAGCCTCCTGCCTGCCCGTGACCGACCTGTACCATGCCGGGACTTCTCTTCATTGACCTCCCTCGGGGGAGGCAGCTCTCCTCAAGACCGACTGCCTGCAACCATGCAGGCCTCTCTTAGCAAAACCTGTATCTTTCCCTTACCCTAATAAACCTGGTCTTTATATATGACTAATGTCCCTGTCTCATGGCGAAACTCTCCTCGGAAACTCTGAAACGGGAGCTCTGGTGAAACCTTTCAAGAGTGAACCCAAGAACCCCGCACTTCACAAAAGGACATCAAGATCAACGTGGGGTACAGGGAGTCCAATCCACAGTGTACATTACCCAGTGGCAACATTGTCCATCTCAAGGGAATATGTCCCGACACAAAATGCCACAGTCCAAGTCTCCCAGGACATCCTCCATTCAGAGCAAGTCCTACAAAATCAGCTAACATCATCAGAAAAGACGGAGACACCCTCAACCTGGATTCATATAATCCAAAATGCTATGCTCTTCCTAAATGACTCTTTTGGGACTAATACCTCCTCTTGTTTCCTCTGCGCTTCCCTTCAGAGGCCTCTACTGGCAGCAGCTCCAATTATTGAGATTAATGACCAAGATAACAGACGCTGCTTGCCAGACTCCCCAACTCTCAGTCCCCCTATGGGACTCCAATCACAGCTACCCCTGCTAGCAAACTGACGCCCTTGTGGGCTTTCATTCCTGCACTTCTAACATTTCGGTTAACGAATAGACACCTCCTTAGAAAAACCCTCTGTGTCTTTAGCATCATCACAAAGACAGCTCCCCTCCTGGCACACGCCACTCTCCAAAACCATTGGGCTCTGGACATGTGAACAGCTGATAAGGGGACACCTGCCTGTTCCTCAGGGAAGAATGTTGTTACTGTATCCGTGAGTCAGGGATTGTAGAACAAAGTGTGGAAGCCTTCATGAAACTACGCAAAGACATGGAAAGGGAAAGCGGGGGGCTCCAACTCTCCGCTGACATGGTTTCAAAATCATGGCTCCTCCCACTCTTGGGGCCAATACTAATGATCACCTTTTTTTTCTTTTTGCTCC